CTATCTAGGCGCTACCCTCCCTCCCCACCCCAATCCGGACCCTCACCCCACTTCCCCAGCGAATAACGTTGGCCGTTGCTGAAAATCGGGTAAATAGGCCAAAAAGATGGGGCAGACGAAGGACCGTCTAATGAAGAGGTGAGGCTATAGGCCCGCTTTTAATTTTCTACGGTGATCACTTTTTCAAAATTTGGGTTGCGGTAAGCCTTGTAAAGTCTTTTGAATGAGGTAAATCTTCCCGCAGCAGCAATTGAACTCCTCGGAAAGCTCTTAATGTATGTGAATTTTTAAAATTTCACCCAGGTAATCTTTGTCGAGGGAACCACCGAGTTGGATAGCCTGCCTATTCAGAAGATGAAACGAACGTCAGGACCGCCGGCAGCAGGGCTGGCCACTGGTCAAAGTAGCTGGAAAAGGTGTATCAACAGCTGTAAAGCTGGAGAAACAGGCTATGAAGTGAAAGATCAGTTAAAATTTTCCGGCAAACTACGCAAAAGCTCAGTACTAACTTGATACTTTGATTAGCAGCGATTTCACAGTCCCGAACTGACAGATTCCCCGAGGTTTTCTTCGCTAAGATTGCCTTAACTGGTGGTGAGGTGGCCGGCTTTCGTTTCTTTGCTTACTTCTGTCGCTTCCCAGAGGAGCTCTTTGTATTTGTGTAGCTTGTGTGCCAGCTTCTTTTACCTCCATTTTCCTGATTTATGTTCGTTATTAACTATACGTAAGCGATTTATAACATATAAACCACATGTGGCCAATCGGCGGCACGTGGGTTCTAACTCTGCTCGCGGAGGGAATCGAAATGTGGCGCCTAACTAGACGAACGGGTATTTGTACTCCACTACGCCATTTATACGATTAGCGATCTGACTGCGTCAAGTTTAGCGCAAAAACGCATAATCGCATAGGCAAACTTGGTGCGTTGCTACTTGGTTTTTTTTTTTTAAAAAAAGGTGGCTCGCGAGCTTAAGTAAGTATGTAAATCAGGCCCGCGCGTCGCCAAAGGTTGCCCATGTCTGCTGTAAACTAAAGCATCAAAATGCAGTGTGGTCTATCGTGTTTTAAGCGCAGTTAATAACCTGCATAAATTAGAATAAAAACACAACAATGTAGGACAGTAGTGTACAGTGGTATAGTGCAGTGCAGAGTTTGTTTTCAGAAAAAAAAATTTCGACACACAAAATTTTGTCAATTATTTGAAATTTGTAGGAAGACAGTTTGCCTGATCATTTACGGCGGCCATTGCATACCACTGTCACTTCGTATTTTCCGAAAGTGAAACTGAAACTCAGTGAAAATTATCAACGCTGAAACTGTTGTTGTAAAATAATTCATAAAAAAAAAGAGATGTCAGGCACTTCCGGGAAGCAAATTGAGAAAGAAAATTTGATGAGTTGTGGAATTTTTTTTTTTTTACAACCTTAAAAGCGGCAATTAAGCGATCAAAATAAACTCAGTCGAAAAAATTTTGAACTTTTTCAAGGGCTTTCCTCGAAATACCTCATTTTAATCCGTTAATTATTGCTGTTAATTAAGTCAAAACTCTTTCTTTATTCGGCTTTCGATGAGAGGCTGAAGCACGCGGGCAATAACCTGAGCGATGGTAAATGAAGCAATCAGCAAGAACTAGCAGCAACCACATGCTGACAAGGCTATCGACCTCTTCTGAGGATTGATTACACACAAGCTAAAAACTAATCTAATTACCTGGCATTTATCACAGCACGCTGCCTCAGCTGATAAAGTAAAAAGTCAAAAATACAAAGTTAATAAAAAATGTCAATGAAATCTTCAAGATGATACTCTGAAAGCAATTTTTTCTGGATTGAAACAGAGGGGACGAAAAGAAGTCAGTGGAAGAAGCGGGCTTCTGTTTTACAAGAGATCCGTTGTGATACTGCCCCTCACTAGAAATAAGAAGTAAGGAGCGAGCAAATTTGTGAGGAAACGGACCGAGGAGGCTTCGCAAACATTTTTACGATTTTTGCATTTCTGCAGAAGTAAAATCATTATACTACCAGTTTTTGGGTAGTTTTTTTAGCCAGAAATCCTTGCTGATCTTTTCCAGCAAAACTTTGTGTTTATCAGATAGCTGGAAGCCAGATCATGAATTATAACAAATCCTCTTACATTACTTTAAACAGAGATCAAAAGATTCTTTCTTTTTTTTGGCAACAGTTGGGAAACGAGATGCTGACGCTCAACACGTACCATTGATTTTACAGCTCTCTACAACCTTGTCAAAGCGCTTCTGTTAGGAGAACCATTAAGTGGGTAATCTCTTTGGTACGGGAAAAGAACCTCAGGATAATCGCCAGAAGGCTGATAACCAGCGATGCAGTAAAATCGTGATATGAAGAAGGATCACTGGGAACGCGCACCAGGCGGGCCGGTGCGATTATGCGTTTTTACAGTATTTCGTGCTGTAGTAAAATCGCCTGGAATCTATAGAGTTTGTGAAATACTGGTCCTCGAAGTTCGAGAAGTTAATTGTGCAACTATGTTATGCTTGGTGGTAAATATTAACATTTCTTTGGGTTTATTTTGATACTGGTTTTTTTTCTTTTTGAAAAATATCTAATTTGCAAATAAAAAACATTTTTTGGAGCTCAACCTAAAGTAGGAAAAATACTGACTTTTATTGTTTAATAGGTTTACGTTGTTCGCGTGAGTTCATCAGCAGCAGTGGATGCACGAATCGGGCATTGCTGGGCTCGCGATGAGCGGTCGACCCTGCAGCTTTCCGATGACAATGGTTGCAGCTTGCAACGTGTCGGTGAAGTGTGGAATGAATTTCAGCGTAACGAACAGGGCACGGATATTGTTTTCCGGAATCAAATTAAGGCCTGGGCTTTCCCAACAAGGTTACCCGGATATTTTCTGGATATCTCTCACTTGGATAATCCATCATTTTGTGCATGAAAATGAAGCATATCTGTTTTCTTAAGAAAAGGCCCTACAGGATCCTCACAAATGTTAGCAATACTACGTGTCTGGCTCGTAAGTTCTTAATCCAACCGGCTTTTTTTTGCTCAGGGCATGTGCTTCATAAGAGTTGATAGAATTTGTGAACGTTGGATTTACTT